ATGTGGAGATGATGTGGGAGTCGATTTGGAAAACGAATTAAATTAGTTGTAAATTTATTTGGTACAATTAGTTTAACATTTTTCGATGTATCAAAATCATGTCTATTAATTTGAACCAGTGTTATTCAAATTAAGGTACAAAATGAATTTACGTGTAGCAGCTTTGTTTTAAAACGCTTCTTTTGCTGGTTTTATTTTTTTATTTTTTGCACAAAATCTTTTGATAGAGTAGGTTATAGTAAAAAGCGAGGCCAAAAAAGGGAAAAAAAAAATAAAAGATGATAAATATCACGTGATAGGCACGTGGACTAGGGTTTAAGCTCTAATTACCACCTCTTCCTCCCAAAGAAACCCCAATACCCACGGTCCTAAACCGACTTTCAGACAACCCTATATTCACTGCATCAAATGACAGTACCTTACGCTCTCTTACTAGTAATCTCCATAAAAAATCCACTCCGAAAATGAAATTCATCTCTCCAAGACCCACTCTCTCCTCTGTATCGAACCCCAAAACCACCCTTTTCAAGATTTTCCATTTATCAACTTCCACCCCATCATTTCATTCTTCTACCAGTTCCACCTACCATTACCGCCGCCATGAGGAGGAGAGCCGAAATGTCCAGGTTTCTGTCTGGTGGGATTTCGAGAATTGTGATTTGCCTTGTAATGTGAATGTATTTAGAGTGGCACAGTTCATTACCAGTGCCATAAGGGCAAATGGGATTAAGGGTCCAATTCAGATCACGGCCTTTGGCGATATAATGCAACTCTCCAGGACCAATCAGGAGGCTTTATCTGCCACTGGGATTAACCTCAATCATATTCCTTCTGGTAAGTTTTTCTTCTCGCTTTTCGAGCTATTTCATTGTGTATTTACATGTTTTTTTATTGTTTTCTTCGTTAACCTGGTAAAAATTGCGATTTAAATTTAGTGTCAGCATTCAGCTATTAAAAAGGTACGATCAATGAGGGTCTTGAAGTGCGGGGTACTGATACTGTAGATTCATGTATTTCACTTAAAAGACCTGATGTAGTAAAGCCTTAGGTAAAAAATTGCACTTTGGTAGATTATTGTGGTTTTAAAAAAATGATTTTTTAAAAATATTTAATTATAATTTTAATTTTGAACTGTAATAGCTCAGTGTCCTTTTATTTCTGCTTGACCTAGAGAAATAGGTATCGTGAACAAATAAGTTCAATCAATATTTGTCTTGGAAAATATTTTCGAATTCTTAAAATTTAAAGAGAAGATTATTGAAGTCAATGAAATGAAAATTTTCCCTGAAAGATTTTGAATTCTAATGGATGAGTTGACCTATTGAAAGTAGTGTTCTATTAATCCATTTTTAGGGTCATCTCCCTTCCCCTGTGTTGTGCTAGTTCAATGATATTTTATGTTTACAGGTGGAAAGAACAGCGCTGACAGATCTCTTCTTGTGGATCTTATGTATTGGGTTTCTCAAAATCCTCCACCTGCGCATCTTTTCTTAATATCTGGGGACAGAGGTTTTGCGGGCATTTTACATCGTCTAAGGATGAAAAATTACAATATCTTACTAGCCAGTCCAGATGGAGCTCCCGGTGTTCTATGCAGTGCCGCAAGTATCATGTGGCAATGGAATGCTATGGTTATGGGGGAAAATCTTAATGGAAAGCATTTTAACAAACCTCCGGATGCCTCCTACGGTTCCTGGTATGGTCATTCCAAGGCACCCCTTGAAGATCCCTTTGCAGTTACTGAGCAACCCCCGAACCATACTGATGAATTGTCTAACTCTGGTTCAGATTCTAAGCTTCGACCAATTCCAAAGGCAGTCATGAAACAAATTTGTCAGATTTTGAACTCGTATCCTGAAGGGATTCTTATTACTGAACTTCGTAAGGACTTGGCAAAGAGTAATTTGACTATTGATAGAGACTTGTATGGATATAAAAAGTTCTCCCGGTTTCTTGGAGCCATGCCACATATTCTAAAACTTCAGTCAGGAAGTGATGGTCAGATCTATGTACATGGTGTTAACATCAAAATTTCTGAACAAGATGAGTCAAGTCCATCTATATATACGGGACCCGTAGCTAACAAAGGAGGATCTGAAACTGTATCACTACTTACAAATCCTGAATCAAAGAACGTAGCTCATCCAAGAAACTGGCAAGAGCAATCAAACATGCATGAGCAAAAAATAAAAATGCAAGAGCTACCTAAAAAGGGGAAAGAGTCCTTTCCACCAATGAAACTGCAAGAAGTACCAAAGAAACAAGAACAAACAGTTCAGGATCTAACTGAAAAAGTTGAAGTTCCCTCTTCACCTGTTGGAGTTCGTGTTGATGCCACAGAAAATGAGGGTCAATCACCTGCTTCTGAGGAGCGCAGTTCTGAGGCTGGAGTCTGGATCTCCAAAAGGATATGGAGGAAGTGGTTTGGGAGAAAAGATAGTGATACTGATAAGAAGAATTTTAGCGAACAGGATAAAATTCCTGTTGGAAATTTAATGGCCGAGGACAAAGATGTGATATCAACAATTTTGTCTGCTAAATCAGTTTGTCCTGCATTATTTTCACCTTCAAGTCATGAGGCCATTATTGACGGAAGAGTAGCTTGTGATTCAGATGTAGCTGCTGAATCATCCAGCCAAAGATCTAGCATTTTCTCTCAGTTTATGCGCCGATCTAGATTTTGGAGCTCCCCAGACTCTGATCATGCAACTGAAGAATCCCGAGAAAATGTTAAACAGATGAAAAATGATAATCAGAAGCATGATGTTTTTATGGAAGAACCCTTCTGGAAGCAAATAGAGGCATTCATTGAAACGTCCCAAGCTTCAGCTATTGCCTTGCAATCAAAGACCAGGTGCAAATTTCTTTTTTTCTTTATTGTTTCTAGTATCTGCTGATTACAATTTGTCCATACTATTATATTTTAATTTAAAGCAGTTACATCATTCTTTTTTGTGTTTTATGGCTTTACAGTAGGTAAATTACGTCTTTGTTGAAAATCTTTTGGTGGTTGTTGTGATTAAAATTATTTACTGAAAGAGTGATAAGACAGACAGAATAGTTATTCCAGAAGTAAGTTTTATCTTAATGCTGGACAATTAAATTATATCAGCACTACATGCGTTTGAGTTAATATCAGTAGATTGTCTGGTTTGGTTACATGCACACTCGTGCTTAAATTTTGTGCTTCCCTTGTGTAACTAGTTATGCTTACTTAGTTTGTGAACAAATAGCAATTCCCTCCACTAAAACGGGCTGGAACCGAGCATCGACATCTAAAAGTTCCAATGCATGAGGAGTTTTGGGTTTTTCCCTTTCGATTTCTGCAAATTCTCTTCTTGTTGTACCATGTCCAAGCTGCAATCCTGGGAATGAAAGTCCATTCCCTCGTGCTCTGGAACTTGATTGAACAAAAACGGTTCAATCTTGTGAAACCGCATAATTATGTTAGTGGATGCATCTCTCATCTTGTGGCAGTTTTTCTGCTGTTTAACTCTATGGATTAAGTTAGGGCTTGTTACGGAGAGATTTTTTGAAAATCATCTTCCACCACCCATTTTATGAGACCCATTACTTTTCCATTCTTTTTAATCACATGTTCTCCAAAAAAAATAATTTTTCACTTGAAAAAATCTATCCTAAACAAACACTGGTAAGTTTTTGCTATTTATCTTAAGCATTTCAGTGTACTAGGAAAGAACGCAAAATTATTTGATTGTTAATGTATGTTAGACATAGTTCCTTAGTTTGTATAATTCTGAATACCTCTAGATTTTCCTTTGTTTACATGGGATGACCACGACTTAGCTGCTAAACACTTGTATGGGAGGTGTTCAAATTATATACATTTTTGGTCAAATATACTTTTTATCCGCACATTTCATGGAACCCACAATTGCTACCCATTTTTCATCCAGACATTCTATGGGACCTGTTGCTTAAATTATAATTTAAACGCACTCAACAAGCTTTAAGTTAAGCACCTGTTTGGCCTCCATTATTCCAAAAATTTATTTTTCTTTCTCTTCTTTTCAATCACACAATCCTCCATAAAATAATATTACACGTAAATTGAAAACTTATACATCTTTTTTAATCACACATTCTTCAAAAAAATACTATTCCTAAAATTATAATTACCATATAATGGAGGCCAAACGGAGGCTAAATTTGTTATTCGAGATGTTCTAGATGGGTTGATTAATTATATGGTTAAAATTTTTCATTCATTAGCAATGAAGTAATTCAGTCATAATTCTATAACTCATTATTATAAATCTTCTCTTCCACTTTGGTATCATTGACATATTCGCAAGTGTAATCTTTATTTCCTTTTTAACCGTAAACTGTGGGATTTGAACCTGAGACCTCAACCTTAGTACTTTTGCCATTGAAACAATCCTTCTAAGGCACACACAGGAGTAATTATCTAATATTATGTAGCTTTAAGGTATTGGACTGAAATTTAACTTTGGTGAAATTTCTTTTTTCTCGTTGCATTAAGTGCTTAACCGTCTATAAACTTTCTGTT